GGTCGCCCGCCTGGGCCTGTTGGAGGTCCGGGGCGATTTGTTTCTCCACGGTACAGGAGCTGGAAGCAAGTGCAGGAGTTCAGGGGCAGGTGGGAACTGGTGGAGGTCCTTGAAGTCTTTGTGAGGTTGTTAGTGTCCTTTAGCAGGGCGTTTTGCAGTAGGAATAGTTATTGGAGGACTTCCATCTTAATTGGGTAGTGTATATGCAATTTTATATATATTAAACTTTTTTCTCTCTCTTTTATTCCAAGCCAGTACTGTTTTACCTGGCAATCAAATTTTCTTCCCATAGAGGATCTTCATTTAGAGACATTTTCTGCCTTTCTTCAGAGCCTGCACTGCTAACAGCTGGGAAGATATGTTGGTATTATTTGTTCCTGTATGTTATAAACAAGATAATTCATTACATTCCTAACATTTATGTAAGCAAGCTGTATAATGTTGCCCTGATATGGCCTGCAGTTTTTGTATTAGCAGCCATGCCTGGTGAGAAAGGAACCCATCTTCATTTTTTTTCAAGATCCCTAAGACTCCAGGGCACAGAGGTGTATTTGACATTTGCTGTCTTATTACCTTAATTCAACTGATGTGGAAGTAATAAAGGTTTAGCCCTCACAATACAAGTCATAAGCAATTTTAGATGAGCACATGCTTTAAACACTTGCAAGCCATTGGGCTGTTAAGTGAATTAAGAAATAAATCCCAAGTGTTGCAAGCTTCTCAGCTTGCTTAGCAGAGTAAAATGCTCTAAACTCTGGGCAGTTTTTTGGGGACACTGAATAAACATTTGGTTTTGCAGATGCTGTCACACCAACTTGCAGAGGATAAGTGAAGCTTCTTGAGTGAAGCAATTACAAGTAAAGTTAAGGAAGTGGCAAGAATGTTAAAAAAAAGGATTGTGAGATAATATCAAGTCAGCTCTGTTTCTGAGGGAATGAAGTGAAAAGGAATTTTCTGTGTTAGTAGGTCTTTGCTTATTTTGGTGAACACTATTTCTGTGGGCTTGGAGCAACAATTTGAAGGGAGCTCCAGAGAGTGAATATAGTCGGTGGTGATTGTAAGCCTAGGAAGAAAAAGGAGGTTTATGTAGGTTGGAAGTGCTGCTGTGCTGAGCAAAAAGAAGACTTTGAGCATGGTGGCTAGTGTAGGAAAGGCTGGAGAGGAAAACTATAGAGATTGTAGCTGCAATGAATAGAATATGTTCCCTGACATTTTTAATAAAGTAATAATTTGGAGAAAGGAATTGAATCTGCGGCTGGGCTCTTCCAGGTTTGATCATTGGATAATTGAGGTTGGAAGAGGCCTTGAGAGGTCTCCAGTTCAGCCTCTTGCTGAAAGCCAGATTACTTGGGGGATCAGATAGGCTTGCTCAGGGCTTTTTCGATTTAGGTCTTGGAAAACCTCCAGGTCTAGAAACAGCTCAGCCTTCTGCTCTGTTGCTTGATTGTCATGATGGGGAGGACAGGCTGAACCTCTCCAACCTTCTGTCAGTTTGAAAGGACCTGCTGTCTCTCATCCTCCTGCACTGCACCACAGCATGTATGCTTGACTCCATCTCCTCAATAATCACATAGGTATTGGGGGGGGGCTGCTGCTGTGTAACCCCAAAGCTGTCCTCCAAGCTGAACTGTCTCCCTTCGCAGAACTTGGTCCTGTTTGTCAACACGTACCTTGTATTGAGGGACCTAAAACTCGTCACAGGATATAAATGTAGTCTTACGAGCGCCAAATAGAGGGGCATAATCCCCTCCCTTCATCTTCTGGCTATGGTGTTCTTGCAGGTCAGGATGCTGCTGCCCTCTGTTGCCAGGCACTCAGCTGGCTTATGCTTAGCCTACTCTCTGCTGAGTCCCCCAGGGCATTTTCAGGAGAGTGCTCCCTGGCCGTTTGGTTGCCAACCTGTGTTGTGGCATGGACTCTTTCTTCCCAGATGTAGGACTGTGTATCTGTCGATGTTAAATTTCATGAGGCATTCATTTAGCCTGTCAGGGACACTCTGGATAGCGCAGCACTGCCTGCACATTTGTGAGCCAGTTGTCATCTAGCAGTCACTGGGTAGAGTGCTACTTAGTAACCACCACCCTCTGAGCCTGACCAACCAGCTGTTTTTTAGCCCATCAGGTTGTACACCCATCCAGGCCATAGTTATCTTGAACTGAATGCAAAAAAATTGTGAGAGATGGCACTGAAAGCCTTGCTTTCACACACCTCATTGGGCAAAAGGCCTTTTACTGCCAGTGTAGCAGCAGAAGCCCCTATGCCCTCTACATCCTTCACATGCCTCAGCTGCATGTGAACTTTGGTTTTCCTGACATACCGTGGTGATATTTCTAATTCCTCCTTAGTGGCGAGTCCTTTCACCTGCTCTCTGTATGACACCTTTGTACATGGGAGCTGAGTCATGAGTCCCCTTCATAGCCATGCCAGGAGGGCTGTAACTAGTAAATTACAGAGAGCTGCGGAGGTATGGTGTCTCATTAGAAACTGGCATTTTGTTTTTACAGCTTATTCCTTCTCCACTGTTGGAGAATGTAGCAGCTCTGCTGTAAACAGTGTGTTGGATCATTTTACAAAAAAGGGAGAAATGTAATTGAGTGACCTGTGGAACCTTATTGCTTTATAGTGTTTGTAAACATGGAGGGTGGTCTTACTGTCAGTGGTACTGTATTTTGCTGCAGCTGTAGCCATTTTGTATTTAGGGACTGCTTTCTTATTAAAATGATGAAGGAATTTGGGTGCAAGACTGCTTTAGTTAGTTTTGCCCTTAAAGAGTACTAAAAGCCAGTGATTTACAGGCTTTGCTTTGTTCTCCCTCTTCTTTACCTACACTTCTCCTTTAGGAAACTAGCAGGATGCACTCTTTTCATCACGGGTGCAAGCCGGGGCATTGGCAAAGCCATTGCTTTGAAAGCTGCCAAGGATGGTGCAAACATTGTGATAGCTGCCAAGACAGCAGAGCCCCATCCTACTCTTCCAGGGACTATCTACACTGCTGCAGAAGAAAGTAAGTTGTAATAAATGTGGGTGGGCTTCAGGTGCTGGGCTGGGTGTATGTCCTAGCTTAATTTTTATACCTTAGCTCCAATTCTCCTTTAATAAAATAAGCTCAGTTCTTCTCTTGCCTCCCAGGAATGCTGGTAGGTATCACAATATTACTGTGATGAAGATGTATGTGTACAGATGTGTGAAAATGCTATGTTAATTGAGACGTATGTTCATGCCATACACCTTCTCAGTGTTAAGGTGTGGGTTTTGCTTCCCTGTTCTTTATGCAACATGTAAAAAGGTTTCAATTTGAGAGTGTGATTTTTAATGCCTTCTTGAGGCATGTCACTGAATGAAAGATTCTTAGTAGGTTCATGCTGTTTGTTACATCTGAGTAAATTTTTCAATGTTTAATTTTTTAATTGTGCAGTTGAAGCAGCTGGAGGAAAGGCTTTGCCATGCATCGTTAATGTGAGAGATGAACAGCAAATTATTAATGCTGTGGAGAAAGCTGTGAGGACTTTTGGAGGTATGCTGAGGTGTGAAAGAGATGTTAATGGGCAGGTTGTTCAAACAAGAAAAGAATTACCTGCCTTTCTCTTGCTTTTTGTCTTTAAATGCTAACATGAAATGGCTTATTTTAAAACCAGGAATTGATATTTTGGTGAACAATGCAAGCGCCATTTCTTTGACTGGCACTTTGGAAACAGAAACCAAGAAGGTCAATCTTATGATGGATGTCAATGTACGAGGAACCTACTTTACGTAAGTGCTGAGAGAGGGAAGTGAAGTAATGGTAATAAATGTAGGACGTTATCTCAGGTTTTCTGAGAAATTGTGTAGCTGTCTTGCTGCCCTAGGATTGGAGGGCAAATATTCTACATGTGCTTTCAGGAAATTGCTCTGTTACTGGACAAATGATTTGAAATTAATACTTGCAAGAATTAATTGCAAGTTGGAGTAAACAGAAACTGTATTACTGAAGTCATTAAGTGATTACAAGCCCCTCCATGCAGGTAGGAAGCAGAAACTAGTTTGAAATAAATGGAGCTCCAGCTTGGCTTTTCTAAATGCTGTCTGCTCCTTCATTTCAAGCAAAATTACTAACTGCATACATCAAGTGCAGTATCTTGTTTGTCAGCTTCTTATAAGCTGCTTTCTCATCTTTGAGACTATGTAACTTACCATAGTTAAAAGATAAATGTTAAAGATGGAACTTAATGATCTAAAGTGTTCTCAGCCTTCTTTCAGCTTATCAGTTCTGTCATTTATTTAAATTACCATACCAAGATTTGATTTCGCAGTTCCCATGGTCCTTACTTTGCTCATTTTTTGGAAACCGATTCAGTAGGTGGGATCTACTTCAGATTTACAGGATGTTATATAAAGTGGCTCTGTTTTAAAATGAAGACTTTGATTTTGATGGAATTGTAGGGTTTTTTTTTAAAAAAGCCCTCAGGATGATGCAGATTCTCTAAATTCCATTTTTGCTTGATATGTTCAGGAGCTTTTGTATCAAAGTTTTATCTAGAATAGTGTCTGTCATTCTCCTTTGTGCAGATGAATCTGGTTATCAGATCTTATGATAATATTCCTTAATGTTCTTTTGCTAAGAATAAGTGAAGGGATTTGCCATTAGAATAGTGTAAAACACATGAACAGCAGCTTTCTGAACTAGATGGACGTGCACAGCACATAGATTGGATGGAGAGAGAAGGAGAGTGGAAGAAAGACAGACTTTGCTTGCGGAGTGGGATTTTTGTGCTTCTATCCCATGGTGTCTGCTCTTGAAAGGCTCAGAGTATAAGTGGTTCTGCATTCAGAAAGGAAGATTGTTTTTGGAGCTTGGCTTTCCATAAAATGCTCTGTAGGTATCTCTTGCTAAATCTCTGAGGGGGTTCCACAGTACTGTCAGTGACAAGCTCTGTTTCCCCCTCACCACCCAACAGTGACAGTCCCTTTCTTGATGGTACATCTAGCTGTTCCAAATTAATGAAGAATTCTTAGTCATCTTTACTTTGAGTGCTACTCTGCCTTACAGAGATGAAAAAGCAGGTTCTGTGTTCCAGAATGGAACAGTGTATGAAAGATTAATGCCTCTCAAGGGAAGTTACAAATAATCTTTGTCATTGCTTTTATGTAGCTGTCAATCGGGAGGACCTAGTCGAGCATTTCAGCCCTTTCTTCCCTTTGCTTTGTGTGTTGCTTCGATTCATAATTTGTATAGATACGTTTGCAATTTAATGTTCAGAAAGTTATAATAGCTAAAAAAAAAAAAATTGGAGTGGATCTTTGGTCTCTGTGGAGAGGGTAGGGAGGATGTCCCATCATACGGATTACATCTATTGACATTCTTGGTTCTTGTGCGTTAAGATATTGAGAGATCTGTTAGTGAACATCACACACTGCCACTGTAAAGAGTTGAGACCCCAGGACATTTAAGCAGGTGGTAAACTACTTACTTCACTAATGGTTTTGCAGTTGAAGGTGTCCCTTCTGTGCCTGACAGAAGCATCTACTGACACCATGTGTGGGTCCTGC